TATTATAAAAATTCTTATAGTATCTAGAAGGTTATTGAATTTAAATTCTATTTTTAAATATTTATTTTTTATTTTTAATTATTTTTATTTATTTTATTTTTCTTTAAATAAAAGATTTTTTACTTGGCATTTGTGTATTTAAAATTACTACAGCTTGCTAGTTTTTAGTAAATTTTATTACAATATATTTTATATATAACACTCTTTGGGAAAACAGAAACAAAAGAAGCATTAATTAAAAGTCTAGTTTCAAAGAAGACACAAGATAAACTAACACAACTTTTAAATATAAAAACAAAACAGCAGTTTGCAAATACAGTAGCAAAAACAGCCTGAAATACATTTTACGAACAAGTTTAGAGAATACAATATAAAAAGATTAATAGCTAGAAAAAAGAAGTAGAAATAATAAAAAAACTTAAAAAAAAGATTCAAGATAAGACAAAAGGTTTAAACAAAAAAAGAAAGACGAATCAGCAAAAAATAAAAGAAAAATAAACAAAAAAAAAAAAAAAAAGAATCAAAAAAAAAAATAGAAAAACAATATTGGAACTTGTTATAGAAAAAAAAGACTCTTCTATTATAGATATTAAATAGTTAGACAAGTAGCTTGCTTCTGCTTAAAGCAATGTGGCAGATTAACTTAGGCACTATTAGGGTAGCCAGATGATGCTAAACTTAGTTGTTAGGAAGATTTATATAATTGCAAAAGTAATTTCAAAATCTTAATAAAGTATTAGCATGACAGTTTAAGAAAAAAAAAATTTATATAAATTTATAATTAATTAATTTTATATAGTTAAAAATTATATAATATTTTTTAAATAATACTGCTTTTATAATAACTTAACTTTAAATAAATTATTTAATTTATAATATTAATAAATTATTAATAATTAATTAAACAGTTAACTTTTTTTAATAATTATTTAAACCAAGTTTATACTAAAAGTAAATTGAAGATTTTAGTTACAAAATAGATAATATTCTTAATTTTATATTAAGTAAACTTGTTGTTAACAAAGCTCAAATATATAAATACTAAAAAATAAATAAAATATAAATAGTTTTTGTTTTGAATTAAGCTTCTTGTCTAGTAGACTCTTATATATTTAGTATCCAAACTAAAAGAGTATTTTGAAAGTAAATAAAAACAAAATTAATTCTTTAATTAATAATATTGAAAACAAAAAAAAAATGAAATAACTAAAAAAATTATTTTTAATTTAAATTTTTATAATAACAAATTAGATATTTTATATCTTTTTTTGTTTTCTTTTTTGTAAAAAAATAAAAATTTGGCTTTCTTTTATTAAAAGATTAATATTATAAAATTATTTATTTATTTATTTTTTTTTAATATTAAGATAAGTAATTGTAATTCAGAAATTTATTGATAATATGTTAGCATATAACTATTGTGTACAACAGCTACAGAAGTAATCATAAAAAGAATGTACAACTTGTTACTTATATAACTTTTGTTATTGTTTATTTTAAGTAGTCCTCTTGAAGATTCTACACTAGTTGCTATACCTAAAACCCACCTATAGGTTCTTTATTTAAATACTCTAGTTCCTGTATCTGCCTCTACTCTATCAACTGCATTATTAATCTGCAAATATCATGATCACTAAGTTATGTTTAACTTTATACTAAGCCTATTAGAGCCTTCTGTATCTTATATTTATAGCTAACTTGGTACTACTCTGGCCTAGACTATCAGAGCTAATCATTAAACTACTATACTTTTGTAAAGTTTACTAGGACCCCAATACCTCTCTTATCTACTATCTATTCTTATACTTTGAATTTACAAGACTTGCCAAACTACCAATTCAGATAGGCTGGTATAGTATCCAAAGATCTTTTTTTTCTGGCAATTTTAGCAGTCTAGTTAATACATGTGCTTTTCTTATATAGTTATTCATTTCATCTTAGTTATTTTTTTTTAAACCTTCTGTTGGTCTAATAATATTGTCAAATGTTCATACTACTTCTTTACTTGGGATTTTCAAGTAGGTTTCTGTGCTCTGATTTTATAGTATTATATGTCTAGTGGTCTTATTATGGGTTTGCATAAAAGTCTTATACAACACCAGATATTTAACATTTCTTTGTAAAGAGTGTGATAACTTAGTGAAGTGAATAAGTTATCATCTCTCTAAGTGATAGGTTGTAAGTTCAAAACCTACTAACAGTGAAATTTGAATAATCATCTATGTAATATATAAATAGTATTATAGTAATAGTATTTTGTTGATCAGTTGGAATAAGATACCTGTAACTATAGTTGCACCAGTATAACTAGCAGGTCTGAAACATTTATGTAACCTGTTATACAAAGAAATGCAAACTAGTACTAGATGATGCAAACCTAAAATAAGTTCTTGAGTTATGTAAATCTATAGAATTGAGAAGTTAGAACTTACTTGAAAATTCTAAGCAAAAAGGTAATACAAATCTTTGATAATACTATTGTAAAGGCTAGACCTATAAAATGAATACCAATATAAAGAAATCAGGCAAGCAAAAACTTTAAATAAGAGGTACTATCAACCAGACTACCAGATTTTAGATCAGAGAAAAAGAATATTAGGCTAATCTCAATATATTAAGAACAGGTCACAGTTCTTCTGAACTATCTGAATTAGAAGTCTGAGGTCAAAGCAGAAGTATACTAAAAGTACTAAGAATATGCTATGAAGTCAGTACTAAGATCTGAATAAACTCTGTAAAAATAGCCTTTATTAGTATTTTAAAAATGAATAAATAGTTAACAAGAAGAGCCCTCTGTGCCTTACTGGCAGGTAACATACTCTGAAATATGTAACAGTCTAGAAACTAGTACAAAAAGAGTAGATACTATACTGCTTAGACAGTATACTAGCTAGGTATATATAGGGAGTTAGTTGGAATTATATTATAACAGAACAGATAATTAGAAAATTTAAATGAGTAATCTTTTAGTAGATTATAGGTATAGTATTTAGTGTAAAACTCTAGAGCAGACTATTTAAATAGGCAACCAAAAGTTGCATATATAACTAGTTGTACTCTTATCTTTGTAAAAATAGTTATAATAACTAACCCAATAAAAGTCAATAAAGTATTGTTACAAAGTATAGCCTTTAACAAAAAAAAAACAAAAAAAACATTTTTTTATATATATATAATGTTACATTTTGCATAGATGCCTGAGCTTTTATTTAATATTGTGTCTCTAAGATTACAGATCTTCTCTTCTGTCTAACCAATCAATAAGATACAGTTATCATAATATAAATATAATTATCCAAATTTTGCTGTCTATGGAATTTGAATACTAAACCTTAGTGCTTTGATTCTATTTTTAAAAGGTTATCTGAATTTAATTCTAATTTTCTTTCTTATATCTAGTTGAATCTTATTTATAATCCAAATTAAGTAAATTCAGATTTATTCATAAAAAGTTTATTAATCAACTAATCAAAATCATGATTTTCAAAAGATATTAAATATGTATATATCTATATATAATAAGGAAAGTGTCAAAAATCAGATGATTTTTTAAAGAAAGTAAGGTAAAAAAATTGAAATTATATATAAAGAACCTAACTATTTATATACTAAAAGAAAGAAGAGGAGTAGGTCTCTGATAAAAAATAATCAGATGATTAATGACACAGCTCTAAGATTATTTAATATGTTTAAATTAAGGTTTTAAATTTCTTGTATTTATATTATTTTTTATTATATATTGTATTATTATTTTATATCAATATAATTGCTTTATTTAGTATCTTTCAAAGCCAATTATATTTTTTACCAAATACAAGTTAACATTTGCTAACTAATTGCTTTATTTAATATTTTTTAAGCTAGTTATATTTTTTTATAAGATATGTATAAGCTATAAGTTGCTAACTATTTATCTTTATTTAAAATCTGAGAAGTATGACTAGTTATACTATTATTTATATTTAGAAATACTATACTAATTAATACTTGCAAATATAAACTAGTTTTTGATATCCATATGATTAAACATAATTAACTTATGTTATTTATCAAATTGTTTTTTTTTTTTTACTTTCAATTGCATGTTTCTTAAAAATATTATTTTTCATCTGTTTTATCCTATTCTGATGCAAAAATATTTATTATATTAATATTTCTTTTTAGAAATAACATCTGATCTACTAAAGCTGAATCAAGGCTAGTTCTTTTTACACTAATAAGGTTATCAGTATGTGAAAATAACCTTTTACAAGATACTGAAGTTGCTAATATTCTAAGATATTTTTAAGCAATTTTAAAAAGTTTAGCAAATTTAAAACTATTAACTTTTTATCAAGATAAAGAATTTTCAGTTTCTAATACTAATAATTAAGACAAGTAATTTGAAATTTCATCAAAATTTTGCATATTTGAAGGTTCTTTTTTTTCTAATTTGTTATTGTTGAAGGTATTTCTTATAAGAGCATGTTAAAGTTTCTATGTTAGAAGGAAGAAGATTATTTGATGCAGATGTTATTTCTTCTATTTCTCCAAGTTCATCACAAAGTTTTTGAATAACTTGTTGCTTTTAGCATTATTTTCTAAAAAATTCAAACTTTTATATCAAGAATCTAATAAAGCCACTATCAAACTAACTTTATTTGAAACATTTCAATAATAAATTATTATATTATAGATATTCTTTTTAATCTTTTCCAAAATGGCTACAGAATTATAAAAATAAAGTATATATTTAGAGAGTTGCATTTACTAAATACTTATTTTAATTATACCAAAGCATT